TTTTTCCTCTGAAGAAAGTTTTATGTTTTATTTCGGCTAGAATAAAAGCAGTTTTTAATTTTTTTAAACACCATTTTAAAATTATTAGCCCCCGTAAGCTATATTTTTTCCTGATAGTCTACAGAACAAACCATCATTATACAATAACTTTCCTAATTACCCTAACCTGCCTACTGTAGTTAACCTAATTCACCTAGTTAAGCCTTTAAATGTCACTATAAGCTGTATAGAAGTGTCTTGAGAAAGATCTAGTCAAATATTATTTACTGTCATCATGGCAGAGTTAAATAAATCAGTTATTAGAAATGAGTTATTAACAGGGGGGCTAATTATTCAGGGGGGCTAATAATTCTGACCTCAACTGTATATTCAGTCTTTGAACTCCTTTTATTTGAGTTTTTAATATTTATAGATAATAAAAAAAATCTATGCACATTTATATGTATTTATGCATTATATTATATTTGTATAAAATTACAAAAGACTAATCATCACTTGTGCAAGGCATTTGAAATGCAGAACAGTAAATTTGCCAAACAGTAAATCAGTCTCACACTATTTTTTCCTTTTTCTTGAAGTCTTGATAACACCATCGTGGAGTTTTTCATTTGTTATTTCAGCAAATAGGACTGTAAAAAATTGTTTGTTGTTCTCTGTAATTCATTGCGCTCTTAGTTTATCTAACTATGATGACTTCCTCTACTGGAAATGTAAAAAGGGTCCGTAACTCTTGTTTTGAGGCTTGTAATACCCTCTTTGCCTTTGTACACTCTCAGACACTCATGTAAAAAATAAATAAATAAAAAAAAGGAAATGTTCTTAAGTAAAAAATACTTTTATTCAAGGTAATAGTTGACACATTAAGTGACAGTAAATGCATTTGCAATTTTACAAAATTATATACTTTGTATTTCAGTTGAATGCTGTTCTGACAACATGTGGACAACAACAAAAGTGTTATCACTCTTGAGTTCAAAAGCAGTATCATTTCTAAAGTATCATACAATCCTGAAAACTACAGTGATGGACGGGGGTAATAGAACTCTGCCAAAATACAGGGCTCAGCATATATGCTATTCATATTTTTAATAGGAAGCTATACAATATTATATTTGTGCATATACATTAGATTAGTCAGTACTGAAGCCAGATCTGGAGCTGTATGTAAAAAAAAATAACTTACCATAAAAATCCAAAAACTAGTACAGACAAATTTGTATGTTTTAGAAAAATATTAAATACAAATGTTAAAAAGAGAAAAAAAAAATCAAGAGAAGCAAAAACATTTTTTAAATTTTGTTGTTTTTTTTTTTGCAACGTTTTGCATGAATTTAACTGGGTTTTTTTTTTCAGTTTCTAAATATGTTCGGTGACTAAAATATTATTGTAATAAATATATCTGTTTAATAAATCTGTTTTGTTTAAATGCACCAAAATACATTGCCTATATCCACTGAACAATTATGCTGAGCACTGTATAAATGAGCAATATCACACGAGTAGCAGTGCGATATGGCTGTACATCGGCACTAGTGGGAGGCGTGCGCGCCCTCGTGCCTTAGTTCCTCCACCAGTGCCGATATACAGCCATATCACACTGCTACTCGTGTGTTATTGCGTTTATACAACAGTTTGACGGCATAATTGTGTATATAAAAAAAAATCAAACATGGAGAGTCTCAAAAACCCTTTTGTATGAGGAACTACTTTCTTCCGTGCTGGATTCAAATCATAAGCTGACAGTTTAACAGCTGAACCAGCATCTTTTAAACTTTAGATCTGTAGTGTCTGCTTTTTGCTGGCTCTATATGGGCGGAGTAATACACAAAGGGTAAAGGGCTGTACGGGTGCTGATATTACTTAAATATATCACGGCTATCAGAATCCAAGCCAATCAGATTCGAGAACCAGACAGAACTTTTGTATGAAGAAATATTTAACATACATACATACATACATATATATATATATATATATATATATATATATATATATATATATATATATATATATATATATATATATATATATATATATATATATATATATATATATACATACATACATTATATATACATATATAAAACATTTATTTATTATATTTATTGTTTGTTCATTTATTTATAAATTAGCACAATCTTACTCTCTTTTTTCTTTATCTTTACAATGCAGCCTTGGTAAGCAGAAGCTTAAATCAATTTGATCCCAAACATTAAACAATACTATGATGCCTCACAATACATAATATGCAGGGGGTAGTGGACATTTTAAAAGTAGGAGGGTGTACAGCTGTATGAGATCCATGAGTTTTCATTCATAGTATTAATAATCACCTCTTTCTAAATGGACTCTTGTAAAAGTAAGGGGGACGCATCTCTTCAATCCCTCTGGTTGTTACACCTCTGCTAATATAACCAACACAATCTTCCAAATTCCTACCTTTGTGTTCCACAAAAGAAAAAAGGTATGTGACGGTGTATAAATAAGCAAAAGCAGAACAATCCCTTTAATAAGCCAGAGAAAGTGAGTTGGCAGAACCTGAGTCACAGTGTCAGCTTTTATCCCGCCGTCCCTCAAGAAATGCCCGCTGTGCCACCGTCTGCCTCCCTCTCTATCAGTCTCTGTCTTTTTCTCCTCATGTCTTTTCCCCATGCAGCGTCGCAGGAGAGTATGTGTGTGTTCCAGCTGACCTGATGCTGAAAAGTGCTAGTGCTGGCCTACTTTCACAGGTCATTTTTAAAACTGGCTCTTCAGAGACTTGCACTGGGTCACTCTAATTGGATTACCGGAGATGGAGAGACCTTAAACCCAATCACAAACACATAACCCTTGATTTCACCTCCGGATAACAGTAGGAAGCTTGAACATAAATATATATAGAAAAACACATACACTCACCTCACTGATCATCACCTACTAGCAGGTACAAGCTCCTTTATGCACTCTTAAAAAGGAAGGTTCGATGGTTCCATGAAGATTCTTTAACATCATTGAAAATCATTAATTCCACAAAAGGTTCTTTACAGTGGAAAAGGGCTCTTTATATTAGGAAAATCTATGTATACTGTATACAAAAAATTCAGTTAATTAACAGGTACTATATTTTGTCATTCAAAGGTTATTTTTCTGCTTATTTACAGTTATGAATTGCATTATGGGAACTTGATCTCTGCTTTGTCACTTGTGATACTGCTAATTCAATTGTGCAGTTTAATAAAAATGAATTCTATTGATATTTTTAGCATTTTAAAAAAAAACATTGTATTAGAATGTAGCGAATTAGGTAGGGTTGGGTGATTAGACCTAAAATCAAAATCTCGTTTGATTGAACATTTTAACTCAATCACGATTAATGAGCGATTATTTTATTAGCCTTTTTTTTTGTCCTCGCTGTTCACTGACAGGTTCTGAACAGTAAATATGCTCACATATTACAAGTAGGAGATTTCTAAATGAAGGGTGTGTTACTTGATTTTAAAAATAATTGAAGGAAACATGCACTATCTATCTCTTCTATCTATGATTATTTTTTGGACATCAACATTGAACATCTCAAGTTAAAACACACATGGCCTAAAACGAACAGTCGCTTTTTTTTTTTTCTTACAAAAAGTGAAAACTAATAACTTTCCCTTTTGGAAAGCAAATGAATTATTTTTTAATGTTTCCAAAAAAGCATAACTTAAAAAACTCTTGTATATCCTGTAAATAATAGTTTAAACGGTGCTTTCTTGAATCTTCCGCAAACAGATATTTTAATGTAAATAATAATTTTATTGTAATAGAAAATATGCTGTCTCTGGCGCAGCTTCCAATCAGTGTCAATCTAGTGCAAACGCACAACGTATATTTACATTTTTCAAGATTTGTGGGTATGTATGTGGCAATGCGAAGGCTGCACCAGACAATACCTGTGCATTCGATGCAGACATACCGAATAAATCAGAGGGGGGTCAGGTGACTCCACGTGCGTTAGGGCAAGTAACTGAAACAATTGACCTGGTAATTTTTGATCAATTATATGTTCTGAATGTCGATTTCAATTACTTTTCGATTAATCCCCCAGCCCAAGATTTGTCCATAAAATAACAGAAAAAGTACTAAAAGCAGTTTATTACCAGGTTTTTTATAGTGTAATTTATAACACCAACCCAAACAATATGTCACTTCAAGCTATTAAAATATCAATAAAAGGCACATTTTCCAATTCGGATCATCAAAAGTTATTGTAGGAAAGATCAAGCTCCCATAATGTAACTCAAAAGCATAAACAAATGAAAAAAAAACTTTGGATCACAACATACAAACTCAATTCATGGATATTTTTTTACAGTGTAATTTGTGGAACCAAAAATGGTTCTTCTATGGCACAGGAGTCAAATTCAGTTCCTGGAGGGCCGCAGCTCTGCACAATTTAGTTCCATCTCTAATTAAACACACCTGGTCAAACTAACTGACTCCTTTACGTTTGTTTGAAACCTACAGGTAAGTGTGTTAAATCAGGGTTGGAACTAAACTGTGCAGGGCTGCGGCCCTCCAGGACAATTTGACACCTCGTTCTATGACATCACTGTAAAACTCTTTTCGAGAGTGTGTTAAAGACACTTCATGTACCTCTGTAGTCATGTTACAAACTCTTTTATACACAAGCTTTCCTGTCAAGTGATTCTGAGATGTTTTGAATCATGGTAAAAGGGTGAAAGAACAAAACCCCAGACTCATGAGTGTAATGACTCTTTTGAATCCCATTAATAAACATGTGACGTGAAAGGTTCGAGCTCAGAGTTCATTTCCAGCATCTTCATTGCTCAGTGATTGTCGCTAACATTCGTGTGTGTGTGTTTGTTGTCCTGAGAAACAAAAGTGCCGGTGCCCTGAAATGCGCCGTGTTGCTGCTAATAAACTCAATGTCATCTGTGACCTCTGACCTCGTCAGCAGAACTAATTGCAGTTTCAGTTTCCAGGGAGTTCAATTGCATGATTGGCTCTCAGAGGATTCGGTTGTGTCCCAACCAGCCAATCAGCAAAGATGAAAATTGCGTCCTTTAGAGATTATCACGCAGCACTTTACAGCCAAGATTTCCCTCCGGACAGCCCTGTAAGTTAAATAAGATTAGTTAATGTACAAGCAAACACAAAATCGGTTTAAAAAAAACTTTGGGCTTTTGTGTAAACAATTTATTAATTTGCCCCAGATTTTTGAGAACAAATAAACTGTGTTTAATAGCGAAGAGGATATATGCTGTAGAGAAACTTTCACCAATCAGAGAGTCCTAATGAACAAAGTGTGCCAATAGATCTCTTAAGCTCCACCCACTCTAATGAAGACTTGCTGAAGCATTTGTTTAATACATGCATGTTTTGCAAAGAACTTTCCCCCCAGCTTCTGTTTAACGGAGAGAACATTTTTTTAACACATTTCTAAACATGATAGTTTCAATAGATAATTTCTAATAACTGATTTATTTTATCTTTGCCAAAAAATATTTGACTAGATATTTTTCAAGACACTTCTACATAGCTTAAAGTGACTTTTAAAGGCTTAACTAGGTTAATTAGGTTAACTAGGCAGGTTACAGTAATTAGGCAAGTTATTGTAAAACGATGGTTTGTTCTGTAGACCAGGGGTTCCCAAACTTTTCAGCCCGCGACCCCCAAAATAACAATGCCAGTGACTCGCGACCCCCAATATCCTCTGAGGTGGTTATAAATACAGAAACCTTGCATGCAATGACGCAGACACACCAATTAAATTTGTGTCAGTGCTTTAAATGTGCTAGAAAGTATAACCTGATGTTATAAAATCAAAATGCATCTGACGCTATTGCTGCCTTTAATATAATGTAATTACCCCAGGGGTCGCAATCCAATAGAACTAGTAACTATAAGCTACTATAGTAACTATATAGTATATAGTAACTATAAACGATTATTTTTATTTTCAGTATAGTTATGGATAAAATATGTTAATTCTTATAGTTTAATAAAAATAAATAGATTTTTGGAAATCACCAGGCGACCCCCCCTTCATTGCCCCGCGACCCCTCGGGGGGTCCCAACCCCCACTTTGAGAACCACTGCTGTAGACTATGAAAACAAAGTATTGCTTAAAGGGGCTAATAATTTTGACCTTAAAATGGTTTTTAAAAAATTCAAAACTGCTTTTATTCTTGCTGAAATAAAACAAATAAGACTTTCTCCAGAAGAAAAAATATTATCAGACATACTGTAAAAATGTCCTTGCATTTTCATTGCTCATTTTAGTAGATTCAATCAACTACTTATATGAACAAATTTCATATAAAGAGGGTATTCTTTATTAAAAATGTCCTTATTTCTGGTGGTGTCCTTTATGTCAAGTCTTCACCTCGTTTTATTTCACAGAGCATTTTCGATAGTCTGTTTCAAAAGATAAAACATCAACTCCAAGCAGCATTGCATAAATCGTCTTAAATTCCTTTCATTCTTAATTCAGCCAATTATTTATCAGTGTTATCAGTGGTCATCATCTGATAGGTGCCTACTAGTAGGCTTAGAAGGCTGTTATCATCCATTCACATGGTTAATCAGCTATACTAAAAGAGAAGACTCCAAATTCAGATCTGTTTTTACATTACTGTAACGGTTGGGGTAGACATTTATAAAATACAATTAATGGGTAATTTAACACATAATATAGATAATTCTCATGGTTTATCAGCTATACTAATAGAGAAGACTCCAGATCTGTTTTTACATCACTGATGTTGGGTGTAGGGTTGGGGTAAACGTTAATAAAATACAATTAATAGGAAATTAAAAAAATAATATAATAATTCTCGTTAACTTCTGGCCGCAGCCATATGCGATCTGTACCTGATTAACTATGTGGATGGATGATAAAAGCAGTATGCCCCTACTGGCCCATATCTCTCAGCTGATAACCACTGATAACACCCATTCAATCGAGTGATAACATTCAAAGCGAGTGCTTAATTTAAGGCTAAAGATTTGTTTTCAATGTCTAAACACCGTTTCAACAAGACACACACAAAAAAAACATCATGCTGTGTTATCAATGGAGTAAGAAAGCAAACACTGAATTACCTTTATCTGTGCATCAAGCTCCGAATATCATTATTCTGTTGAGAAAAAAACACGAGTCAGTTGAAAAACAGCAGATTTACTCCACATTACATTTGACATGTATTTACATTTCTTAAGACACTGTAGATTTAATTAGGATTTATTTTAATCTTAATTTATTACTCAAACTTATTTATTTGCATTTCTTGGTTTTTTTACCTGATATCTATTTTATTTCAACCTTATTTGGAGTGTACTTTTAGTTAACAATATCCTTGACACACAAACACTGAGCTTCGTTAGCAATCATTTTGGCACTCAGCAGTTTCCTCTTTCCCTGGATGCTCCTCCAATTATCACATCCCAGAGATCCAGGAACACACACAAACACACACACACAAAGTATCCTCGCTCAAACCACAGTCCTAAACATAATGCATTGCTTTAATTTCAGATTTTATTTTTAGAAGACTCCGTGTCTGTTAGTTCTTGACATGAGACCGGAGAGAATTGAGGAAATTGGTTTCATTGTGTGAGTAATGAGTTTCAGGAAGAGGTGATCGATGTAGCACTGAACAAACTTCATTCTCACCGCATTTACACTAGCACTTCCTTCACCCTTACACCTGTATACATCTTATTTTTATCTCATTTCCTGCATTTATTTTGAAGTTTACCTGTCAGGCTCTGCAAATACCGCATTTAGAACAGCAACAAATGAACAGACTTGCACCAGAACATGTTTTTTGTGTATACAGAGTACATTAGGTGTCAAAAATGCTATTTAATATAGGGTATATGCACAGCTATTGTTACTTCCCATACCGATAAACTTCCGGTGAATGTGACTTTTCCGATTTTATATGGCTCCTTTTACGGCGTCGATGTTGTAATGTACAGTAATTAAAATACTACCAGTTAAATAGACTTCAGCATTCACTTAGTTGTTCAAGCGTAAAACAAGATGCTGAACATCCAACAATGGAGACTTTACACAAAAAAGCATTGCCTAAAAACAATTGTAACACTTTAGTTGAAGTAATTCCAATTCTCGCTGTTACCTTGTGTGGGGCCAAAAATCATAGTTATTGGTTTAGTAATATTGAGAATTGCACCTTCAAAGAAAGTGTGACTAAAAGAGCACTTTCTTGCACCCCAAAGCATTTTGCCTCATTACAAATAACCAAAACACTCCATTAAATAGATCACTAGAAATAGACCCTTATAGCCAAATCTAATAATATGGATGACATGGTGTTAGTTCCGGTAAAGTTGGTTCTGTGTCTCACCTTTGTGTGTGGAGGCTGTTTGTCCGGCGGTCTCATTAGTGAGGTCTGCAGGGATACCCACGTACACTCCACCGTAGTTCCTCCTCTTTTCTTCGTCCATGGAGGAATCATCTTGCCTGTGAACCCAGAACCACAAAGAGAACCAAGAAATGATCCAACGGGCTAATTCAAGAGGGGGGTAAATAAATGAATAAATAAATAAATAAATAGATCACATTCAAAACTGTTAAAAACTGAAATAAAAATACATAAATCAGAAGTTCGTGATTCAAATCCTTGGTTATTTGGTGGTTTACAGAGGTTATGATGGGATGTATTTGTGTTATAATAATTGTGTTTAATGATTATTCTGTTCAAAATATATCAATCAAATCAAGTTTGTGTCACTTTTAGCCGCTTCATTTGCCTGAACAAATTGTTTTGGGTATCGCACACAATTAATTTTAGTCTTGCAAGATCATGTGTGAAAGTATGGCTTTTGGAGGCATTATTTTACCCTAAATATACATTTTAAAAAGAAAATCTAATTAAGGGCTAACTATGGATCTTTTAAAATGATATTTAAAACAAAGTGACATTTTTGTTGGGGCATTTTCACCCACATTTTTATTTTTTACATTACATTGTAATTACATTACAATACATTTTTTTAGACTGAGCGTTAGTTTGTTACTAGACTGTGAAAAACAAATGTAAATAAGCAGCTTTCTGTATTTTGTGGTTGAAGTTTTTGATATTTATTTTTCTCTATGCCTATGAATTAAATTATAGGGCCGTTATCTTTCTTCAGACAACTTTCAAAACTTGAAAAAAGTGACTTTTATTGTCATTTTAAATAGTTTAAAGTGATATATTGTCTGGGCTGGTGTTGTATATTACGCTACAAAAACCTTGTAATAAACTGCCAGTACATTTTCTGTTATTTTACAGACTTATTTATCTCTGTGCATATATATATATATATATATATATGCACAGAGATAAATATTTATATATGCACAGAGAAAATATTTTTCTCAGAAGAGAAACTGATTGACAAGCGGTTCTAAATAATATATATATATTATTTCAAACTACTAAAATGTCAATAAAAGTCTCTTTGTTAAACTGTAGAGTTGAATTTTCAACATCAAAAGTCGACAGAGTAGAGATTGACATCCCATAATGCAATTCACAACCGTAAATAAACAGAAAACACTTAAATAAAGAAACTGTTAACTAACTGATTTTTTTTACAGTACAAATTGTCATCCTTGCAAAACAAACATTGCTTTTAAGGCCCCGTTTACACTAGTGCGTTTTAGTTTGAAAACGCATAAGTTTTGCTACGGTTACGCCATCCGTCCACACTACGCCAGAGTTCTCGAGCGCCGAAAACGGAGCTTTTTGAAAACGCTGGAGAGGCCGTTTTCATTCTAAAACGCTGCTGCTCCGTCTCAGTGTGGATGGGGAAAGACGAAGACATCTGAAAACGGAGGCGGGGCTGCAGACATTCGCCTCTCTGATTGGGGCTTTTCCTCAATATTAAGTAGCCTAACACACAGTTCAGTCCTGAATCTTCTCCGTGTAAGTTCAGACTTCGCAAGTTTGATCAAGGCTGCATCTCTTCTTCTCAGTTTGATATGGAAAACATACCGAGGACACGCGTCAATCTTCACAGGGAAAAGTGTACTTTATAACTTCATTCACATCACCTTGGCTACGTTGTTTCACTTTCTCAACAATAAAATGTAAACTTGATATAAGGAACTGCCTATTTTTATTTTAATATTAACAACTAAACAGACAGCAGAAATGTTAAGGCGTCGTGCTGCATATATGAGCGTCATCTTCACTGTGTGCATATTTATAACAAAACGGAGCCGAACTGCCTCCTTTCAATTTCAGTGAAAATACGAAACATACCCTCTCTTTTGCTGAATATCAGTTTTAATAATCGATAATGGCCATTATAAAAGTATAACATACAATAAGTTTATGCATTATAGGAAATAAAGGCAAGCGATCAGTCAATATACAGAATGTAGGCTACGTGCTTACATTAATCATTAACTTATCTTTGCGCTCAGCCAAAACACGTTACCTGAGAACAAGTAATAGATTCCAGTGACCAAAGTCAGGGAATATGTCGTTAGATAAAGACAACAAGATGAATGAAATATCCCGTTTAATAAATATAGTGAGATTAGATCCAGCGGGAGATGCTTGATGAGAAGTCCGACTAGCAGAGCTCTCATCTGGGTAGATGGGCTCCAGCGATTGCCAAAGTGTGTGTGTGTGGTCACGTGATGTGCGTTTTCAGCGTTTTGGTGTGGACGGAGAGCAGTTCAGAAACGCTGGGTAAAACGCGAGTGTGGACGCGGATCGTTTTCATTCTAAAACGCCGTTTTAAAACTAATACGCACTAGTGTAAACGGGGCCTAAGAGAGACATGTGGCAGTGTATGAAGAATGTGACATTCATCCTCTCTGTAAACGTGTGTACTAAATGTGGGTTTGTATCGGCAGTCGAGGCCTTGATATCCAAGCGTGAGACTCTCCTGCTGTGTGGGTGCTTGTTGTTCGTATGTGGCAGATGAATTTCCCAGAACTGTTTGGGGAAAATGACAGGCAGCGTTCAAAGCCGGCTAGATTTTTTTCTCAGAAGAGAAACTGATTGACAAGCGGTTCTAAAAACTGAAGGACACTGTGAGGCTTCCCTCCTGTTTATCTTATTCTCCCCCTCTGAAGTCAAAGTCTTTGAACAAATGATGAGGGGGAAAAAAGTCGAAGAAAATACACTAAATAAATGACTAGGGTTGCTTTGGGCACAATAGCTAAGCGATTATAACTATTTTAAGAATACTTCTGTAATATATGTAAGGAATATTTGTTCAATTATGTGTGAGTGTGCGTATCTTGTATTACTCATGTTGTGGGGACCAAATGTCTACTCATGTAAAGCAATACCAGTAAAGTTTGACCTTGTGGGGACATTTTTGGTCCCCATAAAGAAAATTGTACAAGAGTGCCTTTGTTTGTACTTTGTATTCCTTACATTATGGGGACCAATGGTCCACTTAAGTATAGCAATACCGGTCAATTTTGACTGTGTGGACACTTTTTGGTCTTCATAAAGATAGCTGTATAAGTGTGTGTTTGCCTACTTTGTATCTCTTATGTTGTGGGGACCAGGGCTTAATATGTGCTGGAACAAGCTGAATCCGGAACCTCTGAAATCTGATCAGGCATGTCATTTTACCGATTCCCCTGTACTAGTGTGTGTGTGTGTGTCATAATTCAGCCTGAAGCTAATTGCCCCACTTATATATCGCGTTTACATAACTAAATGTATAGTCTAAAGTAGATCGGGGTGCCCAAACTCGATCTGAAGGGCCGGTGTCCTGCAAAGTTTAGTTCCAACCCAAATCAGACACACCTAGGCTAGCTAATCAAGCTCTTACTAGGCTTTCTAGAAACATCTGAGCAGGTGTGTTGAGGCAAGTTGGAGCTAAAATCTGCAGGACACCGGTCCTCCAGGACTGAGTTTGGGCATCCCTGGTCTAGATGATTTATTTAAAGACACTTTTCAGAATTTGTCCATAAAACTGTGTAGAACTATTTTTTTATCTACACACCTCAACTTGAGCCTTGGTTGTTTATTAATTTTTATTAAACTTTTATTTAACCTGAAAAGACTCTATAAGATTAATAATCTCATTCACATTAGCGTCCTGGGGTTTTGAGTTCACTTCCAGATTGAGAACACTTAAAACAATTAAAGAATCACCTTCCAGTTGCTGAATGACTTTAAAATGATTCAGCTTAGACTGACGATGATTCTAGGCAGACGGAACTGTATACATAAAAGCCTTCTCACCCAATTCAGTTTGAACAAAAGAAACGGAGAGAGTAAAGAAATTCTGAGAATAGAGGAAATAGCTCTTTAAAGTTTTCTGTTGTATATACAGCGGAGATATAAAAGCAACATCCCAAAAGATGGCCTTGTAAACAATCAGATACCAACACGCTTTTCTTCTATCCAACAGAGAGGGCCAAGCTACTCTATTGTTCAATATATAATGATGAGTTGAAGGTTTACAATCTGTTTTGAATATTAGATGTCTAACAAAGTAAAAAAAAAAAGTACAATATGATGGTGTAAACACACGGAGAGGGCCAAGCTACTCTATTGTACAATATATAATGATGAGTTGAAGGTTTACAATCTGTTTTGAATATTAGATGTCTAACAAAGTAAAAAAAAAAGTACAATATGATGGTGTAAACACACGGAGAGGGCCAAGCTAATCTATTGTACAATGTATAATGATGAGTTGAAGGTTTACACACACCATCCCCGCAATCATGCAGAATATTTAAATTTCACGAGTCACTTTATAGGTTTATTTTTTTGTTGAAATGTTTGTTAACACTTTATTTTGATGGTCCATTTGAGTATTAGTAGACGGTCTGCTTAATATCCGTTTATACTGCCCCTTCAACAGACATTGACTAGAAGAAACTTTGCAAGTACATGTCAACTTACACTAACCCTAACCCCAAACTAACTGTCTACTTATAATCTAACGAGAATTAATTGACATGTAGATGCAATGTAACTTAATTGAACAAATGGACCGCCAAAATAAAGAGACCAAATGTGCTTGAACACAGAGCGAATTTTAAGTGTGGTGTTAAAAACAGGCTTCTTCGTCTGCTGTATGTACAATCAGGTTCATAAATATTGGGACTTCAACACAACGGACAATATGCGCTTGAACAACAAACGGCCAGCTTTAATTTGAAGGTATTGACATCCAAATCAGGCAAACGGTGTAGGAATTATAGCAGTTTGCATATGTGCCTCCCACTTGTTAAGGGACCAAAAGTAGTGGGACAATTGGCCTCTCATCTGTTCCATGGCCAATTGTGTGTTTTTTGCTCATTATCCCAATTACAATGAGCATTATTTGTACCAATATTTAGGAACCTGACTGAGTGCATTTGTATGGGAGAGAGAGCAGGGAACAAAATAAGTGCTTTCAGTAGAATATCTCTTGATAAAAGCATTGAAAAGTCTGTGTTTGTTTGTCAATGCCTTTGTGTATTTTGGTTGTTTTGATGTTGTGCGGATCTCAGAAATAGCTGAAATTATTCTGTGAAGTGATATGGATTCGTAATGCAGTCAAACCTTCTGTATGAATAATTATGGTGTCTTTTTGAAAACTAGGAGTTGTCATGATATATTGTTGCTGTGCTGGTGATACTCACACATCTTTGGCTGACTCAGCTGGACCTGTGGAAACAAACAAACAAACAAACAAACCAATTAGTCATGCCACATGTTGCTTGATCAAATATACACTTGAAGTCAGAATTATTAGCCCCACTCCCCCTAATTTCCCCCCAATTTCTGTTTAACAGAGAGACGTTTTTTTTAACACATTTCTAAACATAATTGCTTTATTAACAAATTTTTAATTACTTTTATCTTTGCCATGATGACAGTACATAATATTTGACTAGATATTTTTCAAGACTCTTCTATACAGATTAAAGTGACATTTAAAGGCTTAACGAGGTTAATTAGGTTAAACTATGCAGGTTAGGGTTTTTAGGCAATTTTTTGAATAACTATGGTTTGTTCGGTAGAATATATTTTACAAAATAGAGTAAAGGGGCTAATCATTTTAACCTTAAAATGGTTTAAAAAAAAATAAAATAAAAACTGCTTTGATTCTAGCCGAAATGAAACAAATAAGGCTTTCTCAAGAAGAAACAATATCATTGGACATACTGTGAAAATTTCCTGAATCTGTTAAACATCATTTGGGAAATATTTTCAAAAGAAAAAATAAAAAATAAATCAAAGGGGGGCTAATAATTCTGACTTCAACTGTACATCTACAGGAAAAGAATGAGAATTTGCTATTTATAGTTTTACATACGAGTTAAACAGAATTAGTTTTATATTGTAAACCACTGATAAACGGTCTAAATTTTAAATATTGTTATGATCTAAAAACTTTTTTGGCATTAAATGATAAAAAAAGTGGCGTTTTGTGACTTGTTTATGTTCATTTCTCTGAAAAAGAAAACACCAATTTCTTTAATAATACAAAAGGGCCAAGAAAGTAATATTTGGTGCTAAACATAATTTTCAATCACAAAAAAAATTAAATATTTATACTTCTGAAAATCTTTTATTTCTCGGGAAAATATCTACATTTCAATAGAGTTATGCATGCATATAGCTGGATAAAAGCTGTACGCATAGTAAAAACAGTAAATAATATTTTAATTTCTCTCATAAATCAGATTAAGCCACTTAACACAATAATATTAGGTAATTACCTTCTCATTATGATGTTATTACAGTGTAATAAGCAACAAGAAATGTGTTGTCAGGCAGATTTGTCATTTTCTGGTATGGCAAAGCTTTGTCCAACACCTGGTCAATCAAACTATGAGTCATCAAGCGAACACTGTAATGTATGAGTGTGTGCACGTGCAAGTAGAGTTCTTAAAGTTAACTGACAGGGGGTTAGGCATTTATTAATAGCATATATAATGGTAGGCAAGAACAATTCATAATAGCAGAATATGTCTGTCCTCAATCAGAATGTTCTGCATAGATATACTTGAATCTATCTATCTATCTATCTATCTATCTATCTATCTATCTATCCATCCATCCATCCATCCATCCATCCATCCATCCATCCATCCATCCATCCATCCATCCATCCATCCATCCATCTATCTATCTATCTATCTATCTATCTATCTATCTATCTATCTATCTATCTATCTATCTATCTATCTATCTATCTATCTGAACAACAGCTGTATAAAACAACAATCAACATGACTATATTTATACATCACCCATTCATTGAATTCCTGCAGACACAAGGCTGATTAGCAATGCAAATAACATCTTTTTATGCCCCCACGAGGCTTACAATGATATTCATAATGACAGTGTTTCAAGACCCTCACAAAAGGGTTCATATTGATTCATGCCCATTCCTGCCAGAGCTCGTTTATGTGTGTGCGTGCGCGCATGTGTGTGTAAACCCATGTGAAATGACTCATACAGTGCCAAAGCGCTGTTCAGATTGTCGTCTAACTCTCCTGATTTGACAAAAATGACTGAGGACAGAACGTTCACACACACACACGCACGCACACAAACACACGTCCAGCCAGGAGAGACACGTCAGTCTCGTAAGAGCTTCACGGACCACATGCAATCCCTTCCTAGTGGTGTAAACAAACCCTATTCATGAATATCATTGAGTCTGAATGGAGCTTCAGGCACAGTGTATTCAAGAAAACTACCATTGCCTTTATTTAAAGTGGCTCGATGTGAATGATTTAGTTCTGACAGACATACGTATAACATCAACAGTGTGTTTTGCATTGCATTAAAAGTACTAGTGTCAAAAAAAACAACATCATACAGACTAAGACGTACACAAATCTAAGCAAGAAAGCTTCAGACGTACCTGGGGTTGTGCTGGCAGCAGTGGAATTTCCACAGCCCATGGTTGAAACTTTGCTGAAGTGAACCAAAGAGATGCGAAGGCAAGCGATGGACGATGTTGAGGGGGAATGGCAGGGGGAAAAGAGGACTAGAATACTGGAATTGGTCAGGAGAGGGATGGAGGGATGAAGGGATGAGGAGAGAGTGAGGATGACGGAAGTGCAGTCTGAATGTGTCTGAGCTGCTATACTTCCTGCACCATCCCTTGAGTCTCTCAAAGAGGCAGGACAATTATACTGGAGGAAAGAGAGAGAGAGAGAGAGAGGAGGGGGAGAACAGAGAGAGACAGAGAGAGAAGGGAGGGGGAGATGGAGGTGGTAAGAGGTATTCCTCCACCCTGCTAGAGTTTCCCAGGTAACAGATTGTGTGTGTGTAGGTGTGTGTGTGTGTAACTGCTGAAAAGGCAATGCTAATTATAATAATAAAAATGCAGTGGACAAATCCACATCGCCTTTGGATCAGTGGCTCTTTAACAGGGAACAGAGCAAACTTCCAGTTAATGGGAAGGGCATAACATGACTTAATCCAATAATGCGCCGTATAACCTCATTTACTATTTCTATTAGTCCACTTAGTGCTGGTTTATACTTCTGTACTGAGTGATCAGCATGACCCAAGGCGCCTGCCTTGCGTATAGTCAAGCATTTATACTTCTGCATGCTGTTTGTGTTGCTCTGCAATAACACTTCCCAAACACTAGCTGGCAGTATGTTATGAGCCTCTGTGTCGAGTTTCTTCGCGAGTGTTTTGTTTTCTGAACGCTACCTTAAATGTACAAGTAGCTAAAACTCGCTCATTCAGAGGTCGGATGTGTTTGGATGTGCAACAACTTAAATTAAAATGTAAAAACAAATTGACAGTTTCCATCTAGAGCTACTTCATGGGAATTGACACTCGCTCCAACGGGTTCGCTCATCTCTTGGTCCCGCCCACACTGATCACAGCAACCAACCTGACCAATCACACGTCATTGCGATGTGTAGTTACATTTTTTTTTTTGAGCGTTGCACATCATGGCGAGGGCTATGCGACCACGTGAAGGCTGTGCCAGAGCATACACGTGCGCTTGACACAAAAGTATAAATCAACCTTAAGGGAGTTCACTTGAAGGAGTGAACAAAAAGGAGTGAATACATTTAGAAACTGAATGGGGATATTACAGTAACGAAAAAAAAAGTGAGTTCAGTGATGAATACAAAGCTTAAATTACCAAATAGGTAATAGATTGTTTAGAAGCTTCAATCCATAGGATTGCACTGTGGATGCCATCTTGTCTTGTGGGCATTCCTTCGACAGTGCTGTTAGGTTGTACACCCTTTACTGTGGTGCATTGTGGTTTTGAATCGAGAGCATGCACTTTAAAGGTCAGTGCCTTCAAATAGTGCCCTCATTAGCTATGTTTGTAACCACCTATTTGTATGCGCATTTTGGAGATGAGCATTGAGATGGAAAATGCCAAGATGCGCATAAAAAAATATGCACATAACTGAAGAGGATAAACTTTTTATTCAATAGGAAAAGATGCGCTTAAACTGCGATGGAAACACTTTTACCAAACAAATTCCAGTATGTGCGCATTAAAAAAGAGATGTGATTTTGTTTTAAGAGATCATGTGATGATAAAAATGTGTATGAATGGACAAACTAGCAGGTTGAGCACATTGAAAAACATCTGAAAAGTTGTTGTGCTCATTCTAACGTGTCTTTACCTTTTCAGTATTAGTGTTATTATGCTATTAATGACCTCCAGAAATCAAGTGTGTCCATGCTCCACGTCTTACACCTTCAAAAGCCATTCACTGCATGTCGGGATTACCTTTTGAGGCGCAAGTCATTTATTAAAAGAAGAAAAGATTCTCGCATCTTCTCCTACCACAGCAAATTCTGATTTTACTGTTGATATTTGCCGCTGGTTAATCAGGAAGTGGCGATTTTGTTCTTTTTGAATCGTTGGATGGAAACGCTGCTTTATTCGCACATTTTTTATGCAATGATCAAGTTTTGCGCATAAAGTTGGATGGAAACATAGCTAGTGACTACTCTGTTTGCTTCATCTGTTCAGCTCCTTGTAAATATCCATTCAGACAGTCATTTGCAAGCAGCTCAATGCACTTGGGGATGTGTTTAAATCAAGCATCAGAATGGAGAGTTCATGCCTTGTGTCCACTGAGAGGTACAGTACAGTACATTTCAGTATGGGTCAACCTGATCAGGCTTGTCTTTCCCTTGCATTAAGTACAGTACCATTACTTGGTACTTGATGTATGCCAAAAAGTCTCACTAGAAGAAAGCAGTACAAAGCCTTCATATATTTTTTTCTTTAGCACACCTAAGTTCATATTTCAAGGGTTGACTTGCAGGAAGAGCAAGCCCATTTAGAGAGGAACTGGCTTGTGCTTTCCACATGGTTACGGTTAATTTATACTTATGAGTCAAGTCTATGTGGTCGGCACTATGTAGACTTTACATAATTGCCTTTTGGCATATTCTGAAGTCTGATTTGTACTGATTGAGAGGTAACTTCTGCAACTGTTCAATAATTAATCATAAAAATAAACACAAAAGTTTCTACGCAAATCTCCACAATGAGACTCAAGACTTGTTAAACGCTAATGCTGCCAGCTTCACTTCAAAATGGTCAAGATCCATCTACCGTGTTATCAACAGGTAATAGCGTGTTGGCTATTTTTTTGACACACTTGGTATCACTTGATAAAATCTGAATACAGGGGATCACATAATCTTGGATCCGGTCTATACAGAGCAGATGGCTGTGGTGTTCATTGATGAGTCAAGATTGCAAGACTGCATTGATCCTTTCAGGTGGTCTGAAGCTTGTCTGGTGACCTACTTGGACCTGCACCTCCTCCACAACGAACACATTGTTCTCATGCCCTCTGATGTCTTAGTGCAGCTGTGGCCTAATGGTTGGAAAGTTAGACTTGTGATCGGAAGGTTGCAATTTCAAGTTTCGAATCCAGGTTTGGCATGGATTGTTGGTTGAAAGAGTGAACAACCTGTACTATTAAGACCATGGCTGAGGAGAGCACCTCCAGATCTCAATCCAAAAACATTGTTTGAGATGTGCTGGAATGGGATGTTTGTATCATGAATGTGTAGATGACATCTTTATATAGACCAAAATCTCTAAGAAATGCATTTCAGTGCCTTGCTGAATCCATGATGCGGAGAATTAAGCAAGTTCTGAAGGCATAATGGGGTTTGGTTCTAGTAAGGTACACCTATTATACAGGTATAGTAGCTTATATGGCGTCACATCCACAGTAAATGTCTCAGTATCCATGCTCTAAGCTTTTTTTTTCCTTTCAGCTTAGCAGGCAGGTGAGGACATAGACTAATTATACATGGATCTCTGAGTCGTGTGGAACAGAACAAAGAAGAGCAAGACAGAACACTCTATTGATGAAACGCCTAGACAAAACCTCTGGTTTAATCCATTCCAAGACATTCAGGAGAAACACAGGTACACTTAAAAACTTGGGAAGTGTGTAAATTATTCATTGCATATGCAAATTCTGTTGCTTTCACACTTCTAAGGTGGATACATTTATAGCATATAGCTTTTGTTATTTCTTCCTCCCTCTCTCTCTGGTAATGAGTCACACACTTGGCCTTTTCACAACTATTACTTCCCTTCACCATGTGCCTCCACTTACATTTAGAACTTCCTGAGAACAGTTAATGGTATACAGCCATCAGGCCAGACTAGCTTCAATTAGACCTAGTCTGTGCTATTCTTAGTCAGGGGGGAAAAGGTGGACATGTTTTCAACTTTCCCCATTACAGAAAAATATCAAAGAAACACAAGTAATACTTGTCTCTGTTCTTTTTTTTTAGTTGATAATGGGTGTAATGAATCACTTGAACAGCAGAGGGCAGTGTGCTAAAACTGCTAACAAACGTCTAATGCTAATTTAAGTAAACAAACGAGGATTAGCCTCGTATTAGGGAAACAAAATGGCCAAAAAAGGATTTAAGTGGCAAGAACCGGAGGAGAAATGTGCCTGAAAACAGCCTGAGAGGAAAGTGAACAAACAACATCCTAATTCGATGTCCTTAGCTTGTTGTCCTCCAGTAAATGGCGTCACAGGCTCGTCTTTATGTTGGAGTTAAGCGAGATACGTCTAGTTTAGCTCTCAGGCCTTCAGGCAGGAACGTCCAGAGAAAACAACAATTAAAGTCTACTCGAAAATAAGCTGAAATGGTTAACAGTGTTTGGGGGGGGGGGGGGGGGGGGATGCAGTCCTCTCTTTACCATAATTGCAGACTTCCCCTCTATCAGCAGATCTAGAGCACAAACGATTAAAAATATTCTCATTTTCCACTCATTGCTCAAATGAGCAGTTAAAATCAGACTTCTTTAGTGGTATTTTTGTTGACCGAAAACAAAAAGATGCTTGAATTTCAGCACACACACAAACAGAAACAGAAACATAACTAAAGTCCCTATTGCAAATTTTAATGCAGACACAATCACCACAAAATTGATCATTATTACTCATGTTTTGTAAGGCACTACCTGGTAAAGGAAGGCAAACAAGAAGCTTTACAATAAGCCATTGACACGCTCATAGCTAGACAACACAGGAGAACTGGCAGGAGGAGCGAGAGAGAAAGAATAGGAAAATCTTGGCAGTCGGGCTTATATTTACAGTTCAAAGGCGTTTCCTGCTGTGTCCATCATGCTCAGAATGGGAGGGTGCCAGCCTCTGATTGGCCGTAGTGTGACTCTTTGACACCGCCTACCAAAAAGGCAACACTAGTCACTCACACTAATGAAGTTCAGGGATAAAAACAAAATCCTTTTGGCACATTTGAGTCCGAACAAACAGGTGGGAAAACCGTACCATTCAAAAATGACCAAATAAAAAACGACAGGCTTACCCTCAAGCTGCCTTACCATTATATCTTTCAGATTTTCTTTACTTCAATGAATTAAATTACACGTTAAACTAGATCATTTGATATACATTTATATATATATAAAACAACAGAAGCTTTAGATGGTTGCGGACAGCTGCGAAAAGATTTATTTCCACTTTGGTGAGCTCTAAATAAAAAATATCTTA